TGGCTACCTCGTCGCCGGACTGGGAGGTGGTGTTGATGAAAGCGAGCTGGGCGCCTTTGAAGAGCTCGTCCATCAGTGCGATGTTGCCGAGGAGCGGGCCTTGCAGGAGCGTCACATTGGGCAGTTGTTGGAGTTCTGGTGCGATCACGCCTTTCAGCGAATGGATTTGCGCGCGCACTGAGTACCCCACGGCGGACGCGACGCGGATCAGCGAGGCCGCTTGCCGGCCTGTCGCATTGACCACGGCAATGGTCTTCTGGGGTTGTGTCATCCGGGTTGATCGGGGAGGGTCCTTGGGAGGGGGAGGGGTATAAGAGGTGGAAGTAGTATAGAAAGGGAAGAAGAGGTTTATCAGAGAGGGCAGGAGGACAGATAAAAGAAGAGAAATCCGGAGTAAGCCTTGGCGAGAAAGGGCTTTGCGATGGTGGGGTAGAGGTTGGAAAGTTGTATGTAACGAGAATCGTGATCAGACCTAAATTATGCGATTGGAACAGTCAGGAGTTCTCCAACTTGTCCTTCTGATCTGCATATTAAAATAAAATAAAAAGAAAAAAATTCTAGAAAAAATTCCATTCAAATTCCGAAAACGCGGAGAGACAGAAAGGATAAGATAAGAATTTCTTTCTCTATACATCCATGTCGACTATATAACTGAACATAAATGTACACATCTTGTATGCAATAATTCCCTTTTTTTCTTCTAATATGCGTGATATATCCCAAATATACCAAATCCATACCCAAATGTGAACATCCCCGAGAAAAGAAAAAAAAAAAGAAAAAAATCCACAGTGCGGTCTCGTCCCAGGTTTTTACGTAAATCGGCACCACACCTGGGACATTTTCGGCAGTACGGGAAGATCCTGATTCGGGAACTTATAGGCTTGGTTGGATTTTACTTCTTGATTTTTATATGTGGTACATCTATTTCTATTCTATCCTACACCTATACATACACCTATACACACCTAGAGATCTATAGACATCTATACATCCATGCCAAGCCTTGACATCGAACCCATAGCGGAACCATTCCCGAGGGAAATAATACCTAAACTAGTAATAGTCAACTAAATCGCGCAGGTGACTTCATACTACCCATCGTAAAGAACTTCCTGTTCCACCAACTGTCTGCCAGGGACAGCCTCACGTGGTGTATATCGTATATCTGCTCCAGGATGTGGGCTAGTGCTCATCCAATAGCGGCGTTTGGGGCTTGGCACAGATTGACGTGCTACACTGGCCATGTCCGACTTGCCATTTCACCCGATACGTCCATTGGCTAGGGTATCAAGGTACCTACGGAGTACCTTTTAGGAAGAAATAGTAAGGAAAGGGGAAATTAGTCTGGAAATTAGTCTGATATGTGAGTGCCTGAACCCCGCAATTCTCAAAATCCCGAAATATGGCCATCACATCATCCCCTGCTGCATCAGCCACAAATGAGACTATTTTCAAGATCCATGAGGCAATCATGGTGTGCTTGGATCATACCTACAAAGTATATAATTAGTTAGTATAACTCTTATACTTGTTGTCTTGTACGATGTGGGTATAGGAAAAGCAAAGAGAAAAAAAGCAAAAAAACATGCAGACAACCCCACCATAAAAAAGAGAAGTTGGAGTTACCCCCCTTTCACTATTAAGAACTATACAATCTAGAACCTCAACAATATCCATTGCCTCGACCTTGGCAATAACAGCCTACAAATACACTAACATCAAACCCCGGAAAACCAGAAAAAGCAAAAGCAGAAGGCAAAAAAAAGAAAAAAAGCGTCCTTATCTTCCTTCCCCACTTAGTGGCTGTATCCCGGCTACGGCAGGGGCCGATCTCCGCGGATGAAATTCCGTATTCCAGCCTGCTGATGGTGCCACGGCTAAAAGAAGGCAATAGAAGTAGAACAGGGGGTGCATTTGTCTAAATTCTGGCGTGATCGAAATCGAGTGCAATATTCGGAAGATAATGTGCGACAGTAACAAAATGGTGTCAGAATAACCCCGAGGTTACTCTATATGGTCTATTGTTCTATATCGCATGTCACCATCACCGACGCAAAGCGCAGGCTTACCCGCATGGAGGCCAATGCCCCCTAAAAAGAGAAACATTCATATCGCCTGGAACTATAGGTAAGCAAAACCATCCTACATAAAGTAAGGAGGCATACGACACACAACGCCCAATGTCCAACCCCAACCCCAACCCCCCAATCCAGCCCGGGCCGTCTGAGCCTAAACCCAACCCGAAACCCCATGACGAAAAAAAAAAAAGCCAACCTAAGACAACCTAAGAAGGCGCCGACCCGGGAATCATCCGGTTCTTACCAGAATCCCATTCCCACTCCTCCTCCATCTCCCGCTGGCTTATCTCTTTGGGCCCAACGCCAGCCATACCCCAGACGAAGGGACGATGACGCGCGAGGAGCTCGGCGGCTGGTCGCTCGTCTGAATGCAGGTGAGCGCCGGATTTGCGGAGGAGGAGCGTGTGCTCGGAGAGACCCGCGTTCGCGGCCAGAAAGAGCGGGGTGCGGCCGGCGCGATTGCGGAGGTGCACGGAGCCGCCTTGCGATAGGAGGAAGTGGAGTATTTTGATTGATGGGGACGTTGCTGCTAGGTGCTGTGTTGGGTTAGTGGTGTGCAAGATAAGGGTTTGAGAGATACGGGATACGGGATACGGGACACGGGACACGGGACGGGAGGGAATTGGGACGGGAACGGGTGAGATAGGATGATGCTTACGATGGGCGTGTTACCCGAATAATCGGCGTCGTTCAGGAGCCAGTGGTGTTCGGTCTTGGTGATGGCTTGGACCTTCTCCAGGTCACCGTGGGCAATGGCATACCCCATCGATGTGAGTGTCTGGATGCGTTCGGGGAGTGCGCCGTCCGGGTGTCGGAAGATAGGTAGGGATGACTCGGTGAGCTCGCCGCGGATAGATACTGACATGCGTTTGGCGATGGATTCGGGTGTGGATTCTGGCAGCGCGAGGAGATAGGCAAGTTTCGTCAATGCTCCCTCGGTTGTCATGTCGAGACCGGCTACGACACCTGCTCGGGAGAGACTCATGCCGGTGGCATAGACTGGACTGACACTTCCGGTGAGGCCTAGAAAGATATGTCAGTCGGATACCCTTTATCGGTGTGCCAAGCGTGGCATAACTCACATTGCGTGATGTTCACAATAACAATACCCCGCTGGATAGCACTAGCCAGGACGTTGATCATGGCATTATCCTGACCAGAGGGCGCATTTCCTGCGCCAAAAGTCTCGAGAATCAACCCGCGCAGGCCATCCAGCTTAAGCACCGCATCCACCATCTCCGGCTTGATACCAGGGAAGATACGCAGACAAGCCACATGGGTAGTATCCAGATTCGTTTGGATACTGAATGGCTCCAAGCTCCTAGGACGATGCACCATATCCCAATTAACATTAGTGCGCATAGAAGTCGTAATGGCCAACGGGGCACAATTCGGCGCATCGAACGCAGCAAAATCACTCGCCGCAACCTTCGTCGTCCGATTCCCCCGGAACAACCGGTTATTAAAATACAAACACACCTCTGGAATCATAAAATGGCCCGCAACAACCAACGACCCGAGCAGGTTATCCGTAGCGTCATTCTGGAGCTCAAGCATAGGCGCCTGCGATCCAGTAAGCACAACCGGCTTCCCGAGATTCTGCAGCATAAAGCTGAGCGCCGAGCACGTGTACGCCAGACTGTCCGTCCCGTGCAGGACAACAAATCCGTCGAAGAGCGTGTAATTCCGCTCGATCGCCTCGGCGATTTGAGTCCAGCCCTTTGCGTCAATCGAGCTACTGTCGAGCAGTTCTTCGAACTCGAGAACTGTGTACCGCACCTGTCGCCCGTAGGCTGTCATCGGTGTGCGTAGGCTTAGATGTTCTTTGGTTTCGTGTGCGGCGTTAACAACCACGTCCATTGTTGCGCTTTCCGAGCCGTCGTTGAAGGTTGGCACCCGCGCCATGCATTTATCTTGGAACCCCCGCGCTGGGATGAAGCCGGACGGCGAGGGCTGCATGCAGATTGTGCCGCCTGTCATGATAACTAGGACGCGCGACTCTTGTGCAGCTTCTTCGGCTTTGGCTGCGTCCAGCACTGGAGTAGTCGCCATTTTTGCGTTCCCTGTGCTGAGGTGAGGGTTTAGGCCGCTAGATATCATGGTGATGCGGAAATTTCCGATTGTTATGGTTCGTATCGTTTGGCCTGTGACTTGCGATTGCGGTCGTGATTTCAATCCGAAGTCAATTAATATAGAATCGACACATTAATTCGTCAATTCATTCACGGTTTCGGGTGAGCCACGATAATAATGTGGGATGTCGGGGAGATGTAAAGAATATTAAAAGTCGGAAACCACTTGGCAAGACAAAAACGTTAGAACGTTAAATCACTCAACTCCATCGTTGATTGTCGATGATTGACTCTTTTGACCGAAGAAGCGGAAGACTCCAACTGACCCCCCAATCGAATTACGTACAGCGATTTTCATTGGCCAATTCGAATTTAAGACTTCGACTCCACTCTCAGCGATCTCGGAGTATCGGCGGGGTCCAATTATCTTGATTTTTTGTACTCCGTACACATCTACGGAGTATGTTGTAGGGCTAGGTAGTTTAGAAGAAGTTGATCTAAGAGTACCAAGCCTACATACCTAGGTAACTTGGCCTGATATTACAAACTTTCCTTTCGGATGTGGTCACATGATCTACACTACTGCTCTATACAGAACCACCCTTCTTCTATTTTAACCTCACCTACGAAAGTTGCTTTATTATAATTCTACAGTTGTGCCTGGTTTCAACTGAGTATGCCTATATTGTAAAAGGCTGTAAGCAAGATACTGTTAGACTAATAAGGATATATATATATCTCTCTCTCTCTATATACCCACTAACCTCATTAGTGCTAAAAGTGACAGGGATGTCTCACGTCACGTGTGGATCGATAGTAGGACACAAATCGCGCAATTTCCAAAATTGTGAAGAAGCAGCAAGTTGTAGCTCGTCACGATGAGCCTCAACCCGAACGGCTCTCAGCCGCAGCCTGAGATAGAAGATATCTCATCTCAACATCTTTCTGAAGTGATTGTTGGCTGTCGTAAATCGGAACTCGCACTCACTCAAACTCGCACCATCATATCAGAGCTGAGCCAAAAACTCGACTCTTCCCCGACCTTTGAAATCGCCACAGCCAGTGTCGCTGGTGATGCAGATAAGCAGACGCCCTTCATCCTCCTCTCTAAACAGACGGGTGGATCAGACATTGGCAAAAGTTTATGGACAAATGGCCTTGAAATGGACTTGTTGGCTGGCAAGGTCCAATTCCTTGTCCATTGTTTAAAGGACATGCCAACAACGCTGCCACCGAATTGTCTCCTTGGAGCTATCCCTGAGCGTGAGGACTGTTCTGATGCCGTCGTAATGAGGTCCGACTCTGTTTTCAAATCCATCGATCAATTACCACCTGGCTCCATAGTTGGATCGAGTTCTTCAAGAAGAAGAGCTCTAGTTCGGCGAAACTGGCCTCATTTGGAGGTATTAGAGTGTCGGGGTAACCTGTAAGTATTGATTGGTTCTCCTTTTGCCACTACCCGCTGGATCTATCCATAGTATAGATATGATCTAATAAGGACCATGTATATTAGAGATACTCGCCTTGCTAAGCTTGACGCACCTGATTCACCGTTTTCGTGCATTCTCTTGGCGACTGCAGGGCTATCACGCCTAGGACTCGGCCATCGGATCACGCAACGACTTGAACCTACTATATTCCCCTATGCGGTTGGGCAAGGCGCACTTGGTATCGAGCTCTGCACAGACCGCCCAGACATCCTGCAACTTGTCCAACATGTTGACCATAAGCCGTCAAGATGGCGCGGCATGGCAGAGAGGGCGATGCTTCGAAGTCTTCAAGGAGGATGTTCGTCTTCAATTGGCGTTTGGTCTTCTTTTGAGCCCCTGAAAGAAAACGATCCGGCAGACACACAACAACAAGGCCTTGATAGCGGCACCCTTCGTCTACGAGCTACGGTTATCCACATAGAAGGATTGTCGGAAATTTCCGCTGAGGATGTAAGCAATGTCCAGTGCGATGAGGAAGCAGAGCAACTCGGTGTCTCAGTCGCGAATATGCTGCTTAACAAGGGGGTGCGGGATCTATTACCAGAACAAGTATAATCCAAACAACACTTGAATGTATAGAATAAGCAGCAGCAACGAAATAATCCATAGGTGATCGGCGGATAAATATTTTCCGTCCTGAGAGATGGGTTCAGAGTTAGATGGTGTTGGTTGGGGATTTATGCCTTTCCACGGAGGGCCGAGGATATGTCTACGCAGTAGGTGATTTAGGGTATGAGAGTAGTCCGTAGAGCGCCTATACTAACTGAATCGGCAAAGAAATTTTCACTGACAGAAGCTTCGCATGCAATTATACGGATCATTCAAACATTCCCCGAGATCAAATTGCCACCTAAAACACTTATTATTCCACCTGGCGAGGAGAAGCAAGCTTTGACAATTGTGGTTATGAGTGCAGCAGGATGTAAGGTCTTGCTGGACTGAAACGGATGAATATGTAGCTTATAGAAAAGCGAGGTGTAGAAGTTGAGATTAATATTAGCAATCATAGCAGCTCGGTATTTCAGAAGAAACAAGACTACTAGTGAGTCTGACATATCCGAAGATGATGCACCCGCTACGCTCTTCACGACCATCCCGGCCCAAACTGCGACAAATCCTCCTGCAAAAGCCCCATCATATACTGATTCCCCCAAAACCAATTCCCCAATTGCGCAGCAGTCCCCGAGTCCTGTCCCTGCATTTGAGATGGATCGACCGGTGCCGAGAAACCACCCACATTCTGCTGCGACGATTCCGCTGAACTAACATGGATGCTAGGATTATCCTGGAAATATCCCTGCGAGTTTCCCATCTGGGAATTACCGCTGTTCGGAGGATTCATAGGATTCGTAGGGGCCAGTCCGAGCGCACTGAGATAGACATCGAATTCCTGACCGACCTCATTGATATTTTGGTCTTGGTCTGCGGCTGTCTGGGTCCGGGTGTTGGCTTCGAAGTAAAGGCGGGCGACGGTGCCGAGCACTGAGCACAGGGTGTGCAGTCGGTCAATGGACTGGGAGAAGGTGCTTAGAGGTTGGAGAGAGGCGATGAACTCTTCGAGTCGGGCGAGGTCGTCGGCGTTAGAGGTTGTTATTATGTTGCAGAATATTACGATGAAGGGGACAAAAGGGGACATGAGGAGGGCCCTGTAATTCGACTGTGAGAATTTGTTGGTCTGAGGTGGTGCGATCATTGCATCAAGAATGGCGCTGTCGTTAGAATCAGTTTGAATTGCTTACCAGTGCATATAGGATATTTTCATGAAATTGTCTGTCTCGCTGAGCGCTGCAACGCACTGTCGGTGGATTTCCAGGGCTTCCCGGGCTGTCTCGATGCATTCGGGTATGAAGGTGGCCACACGGCCTGAGTCTGTTGATGCTGGAATTGCTCGGTAGATCAGGGTCATGATGGCCAGTCGATTGACCTTGTCAGTTGCGAGGTACATGAGGTCGACCTCGGATATTTTATGATCGGCCAACATGAATTTCTAGATGTTTTACATTAGTAACTCCTTCACTCAATCATATCCCAAACAACGGTGGGGGGTTACCTCAAACGGCTCCATAACCTTCGACTGCATCTCAGCGGCTAATCTATAAGCATGTGCGACTCGTTCGCTTTCTGATTTCTGTAGTGCCTCTGGGCTATACAAACATCGATAGATATCACACTGGATGATTGCCGATTTAGTCCACAACATGCAGACGGGCCCCCATGGCTTGGGAACATCTACGTTCTCATCGGGCATTGGCAGGCTGATATCGTAGTTCTGGATGGAAGAGGCACGTCCTAAACGCAGGGACATCATACTTAAAATTGTGTAGACAGACCAGAATAGAAGCTGCTTTTGGCGTTGGACTGGTACGGGGTCGTGCTCCATTGAGGTAAAGCGATGATACCCCAGGGTCTGGCACAGATTCATGGCCGTCGATGCTAGCGTCCAGCCAACTGATGGTTTAGAAATCTCCAGCGCATGCATAGCCTGTGTTGGTAAGTAAGGATTCCGGATGGGGTATATCCAAAAGCAAAGACAAAAATGAAATGGACGACTAACTCCTAGAGCTAACGCCATGATCGATTCATGGGTTGCAGGCATCAAGATGTTCAAGTTGGCAAGCGCTGTCTCCAGGTTGTCACGACATATCTCAATGTAGTTCTGGTGCTCTTCTCGCATAGTGGAGTCTTTCTCCATGCCACCAAATTCGTAGAAAACACTGTACAGACAAAAGTTGGTTACAACAAATGCCGCATCAGAGTAATCGTCTATGCAGAAGTAAACTTCACGGCATTTTTCGGTGAAATATTTCACACTCATGAAGGGGACATAGCCACCAAAGCAGGCCGGTGGTGTTTCTATATGAGTAAGAATATGAAGCTAGAGACATGCATATCTTTGGAATGAATCGTACCTTGAATCTTTCTCAAAATGTCTAGAACCACTGGTAGAGGCGGCATCTCTAGATCACGAATGTCGCGTCTCACACCTAACCTCGCATTATTGGTGGGAAGTTGACCCCCCTCTAAGCCCGTTTCTCGCCGCTGACTCTGGATCCCGACAAGCTGCTTCAGCGACGAGAGAGCCGCGTTGATCTTGGGACTAGACAAAACCTGCGGCGAGCTTTTGGACACGGCAGATTCAAGGAACGCACTCGCGTAGGCCCCATGGGCAGTCAGAGATGAGCTACCCTCAAAGCCAGAGCTGGAATCGTGCTGCTCGATAGTAGGATTCGCTAAATACAAAGGGCCCTTGGGCTTTCCAGTGTTCCCTGGAGCGAATGACGGCTGCGAAGGGGTTGACTTCTGAGACGAAGGGGCGAAATGAGACTCGCGCGGGTTTGGCGCTGTGAGGCCTTGTAGTTGAGATGTATTTTTTGCTAGCTGTTGGAGAGTACTTTCAATGCTTGCCAGGCGTTCCTCGATCAAATCGATCTTTTTCTCACTGTGATCGAGTCAATGGTGTCCAAATGACCGGAGAAGATGCTCATACTATTGATTTGAAATTAAAACCCGCCGCCGGGGCTCTGATGGCTTCTGGCCTTCGCCGGTAGATCGACATGCAATGCTGGAGCTACGGCAGTTGGAACATGGTGTGCGCTTATCGCATCGGATCTGTGACAGGGTGAGATCGAGTCATGACATCGGGCCACTCGGAGCTGCAGCTGCGTACCTTTCTGAGGCGGCATTGATCACACTGTATGCATAATTAATATTGGTGAGCCAAAACTGTATCTTTCTTTTCTTTTTCTAAGCTTGCAACTTGTTTGCTTGTGGAGCAACACATACCGCACGTCGGACCAGCGTGCTTGGCCCCTGGCGTCCCTCATGATCGGATTCCTCGGGCTCCATGGATTTTAAGATGCCGTATACCTAGTGTAACATAGAAATTGCTAAAATTAGAGACGAATGAAGCTTTAAATTGTGATTTCGGGTTTGGTTGGCTGCCTTGGCTAATTCTGTCACGGTCACGTGGTATGAATTTTCTATGTATGAATTTTCTATGACGATACTACACAACCAGGACCGGACAGACAGATATATATGTACATAGATGGGAATATATTGAATCTGAAGGCTAATATCTACCGGTATTAGGTATGAGCAATCATAGTATGCGATATATTCGTTTAACGTGACCAGTCATGAACGAGATCGATCAAAACACGCCGTGCCTGTTCTATTCCTCCAATGGGCACAGCGTGTCCAGCACATGAACCAAAAGTGTATAATCAATCTATCTTGAAAGTTGCGGCGGGATATAAAAGCGAAAACAACCTCAGTGTCCAATGCAGAGGGAAAGCAGATCTATTTCTTGGGAGGCGCAGGGGGCGACCACGCGCCATCGCTCAGCCAGACTCCTGTTGGGCTGTAAGTGCCAGCCTCGGAGCCTCTCAAAAATGCGAATCGGAAAAATAGGTCTTCGGGTTTATCATCAGAATCACTATCATCCAAAAGAATCGATTTGGTGTCAATGTTGGTGTCCAAATCACGGTTGACCAGACGAGGGTTTGTTTGTAGCTCTAGGCCATCATGGCCATGGCGGTGCCAGGTGAATTCTCCGCGCTTGTCTTCATCGAGATAACCACGCCAGCGCTCTACGTCGTTAAGAAGAACCGAGATGCCGTCCACCGCAAGATCTGCCATACGCTCGTGTTCCCACAGAGCGAATGTGATGTTGCCATTGCCGCGATAAGTGTTGTTCGATCCCAAGTCTGGCAGGGAGACATTCACTGATGCAGTCGTGATATTTGGATAGGTAGCACCCCACCAGCCATGGATTCCATCTCCAAGCGGCGCTTGCTCTCCTAGAGCTGCCGGAGTCTCGATGATCGAGGCGAAGCCCCACCGCGCAACTCCGTTGATGAAAAGACCCAGCAGCAGACCCTGGTAGATGAGCGAGGGACGAGTGGGAAAGGCGGTGCCCGGCATGAGGAGAATGGCGAGGATATAATGATGAATCCGAAGGCGAAGACCAGGGAGGGGAAGTAAAATCAAGATGATGAGCCCCATGGTACAGTATATCTTCAAATATCGTGGGAGCCGACCTCCCTGGCGAATTTGCCACGCCTGGCTCAGGATGATCGAAATCACAATTGGGATGACAAAAGCCAACGCCAACTTTGCCCCAGGTTGTTTTTGAATGTCCATCGGGGTCAGACGCTGCAAGGGAATCAACCGCGCAAAGGTATAGTTGTTCAGAGCTCCAATGAAAAGCGGGGGTAGGAAAAGTAACAACTTTGAAAGCTGGTAGATAGGCGAAGAAATTGGCTGCAAAAGCGGCGCTGCACAGAACTTATAAAGTACGTAGACAACAAATGACGCTGGCAGCAGCCGTGATAGAAGACTGGAGACAAGGTCGGCCAAGAAAGGATCCGAGGGCGGGTCTCCAACAAGTCCCGTATGGCAGAACACCATGAAGAATGTACTGAAAAACAGGACAGGCGGCGATGTACAGAAGAGCCACAGGACGCCAACGGCCGCAGCGGTGATTCCAAGAAGCGTCCAGCGTGGATCTGACGGGCAGCTGGTTTGCGGCGAGGATAGCTCAAGAAAGCTGAAAGCCTTCGGGAAGGTCGATGGGAACCCGGCAGAGAGAATACCGTGTTGCTTAACGGATGGGAAAGAGTGCGCTGCACCCTCAAGCTTCACAACACCGCAGCCGCCATCATTCGAGATTGCACCGACATGGATTGCTGCCTGGCAGACAAAGCTATCCGCACGGTAAATTGCCGCATGGGAGGAATCTGGGTCAGGCCCTCCAATTACTAGGCCTTGGTAGTTGTATGTATGGTTTCCCACAACGTAAGGCTCCAGTAATTTGGTATCACGGCAATTCGCAGGACACCGGAAGGGAGTAGTCGAAGAAGAAAATGGACGGCAGTCGTTTCCGTTAATACCACACCCATTACCGAACTCCCTGAAGCGATCGCAAACATGTTAGCCAATTTTATACCTAGATGGAGTTCCATATCGGCACGTACCAAAAGTTCGTCGAGCATGACAGCGTCTGAGGCCGACCGTACCCTTCGATATAACCGGAAGAACGCGAGTGTAATAAAATCAAAGACCAAGGCAAGAACCAAGATATATAGAGCAGCAATAAGAGTACAGTCTTAAATTTGCGCTTCGGGAAGAGACGGTCGAGGTATTGGACTGGAAGCTCCTGGATTCGCGGAAACAGTGGCTTCAACAGAAGCATATGCGGCGGATCGGGACCCTTGACCCAATTGGCGGTGGCGCGACCGACCTTTCGGAGCGGCAACGGCACCCATCTCCAGCGAAACGACTTGGATGACTCTCGCAACCAGACGGGAAGAGCGCTGTGTGCCTCGACGTCGGGCGGCGGCAGGTCTGCGGAAGCCTCGGGATCGTCGAGACGCTCGTCATCCTCAAGCAGTGGGGGAACATATACCCTAGCGGCCTCCTCTCGGCCCTTTCCAAACATAGCGAAGCGTTGGCTTGGAGGGAGAGTGTGGTGTAGTTGGAGAAACTAAAATGAGCGCAACGAACGATGGGGTATAAGGTATGACGGTGGTCGGTGGCTGATGGGCGCTAGCGTTGCGATAGGCAGTGGGGATCTCCAGGGCTCCGTTGATTGGTATGTAAGGCGGAAGATCACCAGGGACGCGGCCTTGAAACGAACAGAGCGAGTAGGCCGTGTTAGACCTAAAACATGAAGAGATAGGCGATATAAATACAAAAAGAAGGAAAAGGTATGGGAAAGAGAGACGAGAGATGAGAATCAGATGAGATCTGGGGAAAAGACAAGGCGGATCCGCCGTCAGGCGGCCATCCAGGCACCCAATCAGAACGGCACGCGTGATTTGATTGGTGTCCACAGGGTGGCAACACGATCTCTCCAACAATCTATCTTGGATGATCTTTCAATTCGGAGAAATTTACAAAGATTTCACTAATGCAGGGAATTCGGATGTGATCTGAGATTTTCAAACTATATCGTTCTATCCGTACTGTTCGTCCTACGCTGTGTGACAATAAGGTCAGGGATTATAGCCCTGATACCGAATGACGACGGGAAAGACATGATTGGTGGTGTTCCTAGGGGTCTTCTGAGAAATTGAATACAACATACCCCGGTTCCATCTGAAACGGTATACTTGCGCAAATAACTATACTAACAGCCATTCCCTAGACTATTGTGCCTTGTTCGCAGTATCAATCTCATAGTCGCCATTCTGATATTGCTGTGGTCAAACTGATCCGGAGGCTTTTCCCAATCTACGGGTGAAGGGCGCCACCACATTAGAATCCATGGGAACACAAACTACCCGGATGTACCTGCAAGTTTTTTTTGCGTGGGCATACTGCCAATAGAGACAGGACTTCTAGGTCAAATTGATCCAAAATGCCTTGGGGAAGTCGCTCGGGGCTGTATTGAGAAGGGCTGTATTGAGAACGCAACCTAGCGAGCATCTCGTTCATTGGCCATATCTCAGTCATCGACAAGCACGGCAGTCTTTCGGAAGTATCACGACAACGCGGCTTTTTCGCCACTACTATCATGTCAAGGGAAGTTTTTAACTGGAATCCAGTTTCTCAGTTCAAGCCATTATGGCTTGGTGTCTGTCATTTTAGCCATGCCGGCTAGAGGTTGAAGGCGAGGCAAGACATGGCAAAGGTCATCAAAAATATATCAAAAAGAGACCAAAAAATATATCAAAATATATCAAGAAAGAGATCAAAAAGGACGCCTTTAGATTGTACTCAAAAATGATGTTATAGGATCTTCACCGAGCTAGACTTGGGCATGCGCACCTAAGAGTCCCTGGATCTCATTATTCAATACCCCAAGGCCAGCAGTGTAGTCCAAATATGCCAGATGTAGGGGAACCGTGTTAGTCGCGCCTTCCCGAACGGGCACCCCCTAAACAGCCAGTTCCCTCCTTTTCCTTCTTCCATGGGGTCAAGTCTTCTATCATCATCAGGTGGTGTATTCCATTATCATCGTGGATCTCATAACATCCTCCAATCCTATCCATGGCAATCCTATCCATGGATTATTTGAATCTTTACACAAGTTATTTTATGTACTTTATGCCCATTATAAAAACCGTGGTTATCAAAATGCTCAGTCCACATCAAAATCGGTGCCTGGATGCCTGAATAAACTTGTGGGGTCAACCCATTAGTTGACTAGTTCGTTAGACTCTAGCAAAATATTAAACCCTCACCCCGCACGAGCTCCAAGCTCTCCAAGCACAATGCCTCTAATCTCCGAAAACCAAGACCTCGCCGAAGAAATTGAAGCCGTAAACGCCATCTACGAGCCCGACACAATAACCGTAACCCGCACAACCCCCGCAAACGCGACAACCAACAACACACTCGACCTAGGGAGTCCCGCGCACTACAATAACAACATCCATACCACAGTGGTCACCCTCCAAATCCCAGAACAACAACACCTATCCTTCATCCTCGGCTTCGAAGCCTCATACCCAGACTCCCGACCCGTTGTACTGGGCACAGCATCGACCGCCGCACGCGGGGAAGGCAAGATCGCCATCGATGTATTGGAGGATATCGTACAACGAACCTGGCAGGCCGGCGCCGTGTGTCTGTTCGATGTAATCAGCGAAGCCGTCGATGTATTCCCAGAATTGAGTATCGGGCAGGACGATGTCGGGGACTCGTCTACTCAGACACCAACTGTCGACGCGTCGACCGCCACAGATGCCTTTGAAGCTCTGTCCCTGCGCGACGCATTCGGCCTGGATGTCCCGCCCGAGTGGATCCTCTCGGACGTGGTCTCCGAGAAGAAATCGGTTTTCGTGGGCCGTGTTGCCCGTGTTACTTGTCTAGCGCAGGCGCAGGCTTTTATTGATCATCTTACGGCTACGGATCGGAAGGTTGCGGCCGCAACGCATAATATTAGTGCTTGGCGCATTCGCCAGATGAAGGGTGCGGATGGGGAGGGTGAGACTGTTGTTCAGGATTATGATGATGATGGGGAGACTGCTGCTGGGGGTCGGTTGTTGCATGTTATGCAGTTGATGGATGTGTGGAATGTTGTGGTTGTTGTTACGCGGTGGTATGGCGGCATTCAACTTGGTCCGGCGCGGTTCCGGCTCATTAATGATGTTGGTCGTGATGCTTTGGTTAAGGGCGGGTTTACTAAGAAGGAGGATGCTGCGGGTGCAGAGAAAGGGAAGAAGAAGGGCAAGAAATGAAGGGACTGGAGGTCTACCTGATGAATTTGGATGCTCGGGACCTCGGGAGACCCTGGAATTGAATTCATTCACATAGGGCGTTCTGGCCCGTGCGAAACGATTAAGATGAAACACCCGAGGACCCGAGTCTGCATGACCAGTGTGCTTGATGCAACCTCGAGCAGGCATCAATCGCACTGGAACTGCGGATACAACTTTCCTCCTTGGCAAGTGTTTATTATGTCTATCCTACGACTGGGATTTACCACAATGGGAAAATCGTGGTGCGTGGTCCATCATGTGATACTGTCTACGGAGTACTGTCGACAGGCAGTGGACCTTATGCGAACATAACGAATCTTCACTTGAATCCAGTCTGTGGACTGGAAGCCATGGCGACATCATTGGGCGAATTTACAGCTCACATGCAGGGCTACCGAGTCTACTTTGGCGCTCACGAACGACCTTATTCAATGTAACATGTGTGTACCACACCCCTCTTAGTAGGCAACTTCCCAACCGCTACAAGCGACAGAAAATCATTGCTTCGACAAATGTACATTGGATCCATGGATGTCTTGAATAGAAATGGTTGTTAGTGCACGCTATCAAAACCCAAGGCTTGCATCAACAAGTCCAGATCGGGCACTTACCAGTTTCCTACAAACAGGGTACTGACCATATGCATGCCTACATATGTAGCCAGCGCAACTCACTGTTCCTATAAACGAACATGCTTTATTAGATCTGTAGTTTCACATGATATTGGACCTGATATCTTTTGGAGTGCTTGCCAAGTTTATTCGCACGTTAGGCTAGGTTAGCACTACGATGGCTTGTCACATTTTATCTCTATTGGATATTAGAAAGGTTTGCCAGGATCTATCATAGGATACGAGGTCTCAAGTAGCTACCGATGTATGTAGAAGACGAACCCGTGTGCGCAAGATGGCCGCTTCTATGCGAACCGTCCTGCGGGCTGAACTGTTACTGCAGGGTCTCATGTCCAATTCCAAGGATATACCGACTGTAATCGCCTACTAGATCGATGATTTGATTATGGTAGACTAGAGGTTTAATTACCATTAAGAAATCAGGAGCAACATTGGAAGAATGGCGCTCGGGGTAGGATTTACAATATACTAGGTCAATATATATATATTATTTAGTTCATTAAAGCGAACCCACCAGATGCTACCTTGATAGAAGACAGACTAACGGACGAGTCACATCGACACCAGATAGAAACCTTGATCGAGTCTCTTGGGTTTCATTTTCGAGGTCGACATCGCGAACGCAGCTCCCTATCCTCCTTCTAGACTAGGGCAGCCGAGTAATGTGGTCTGTTCGAAATTACAGGGAGGGCTAACCCGGTCGCTTTCATTTACGGGCTTGGGGATGTAGATATTTCTTTTAGGTAACTAGATAATAGGCCTTATTCTTCGTAGTGGCTTCCATATTGTTTCTAGCGGATTTGACATCCGCCAAGTACATTTGGTGGAGCTATGGCACAACCGTGGTGATCCTGAACCCGCTTATAAAATTAGTATGGCTTGACATCTCTAGACATTTTGAAATTCGAAGTTGACACATTACGTACATTCGGACATGTCACAGTAGGAATCTAAATAACGCTCACATTTTAGTTACTTGTCAATATCAGGAAGACTTGGCAACGGGGGATACTTATGTACCGAGTACCCCCACACATAAGTGCCGGTGTTAGATAGATTGAATGAAGGCTGAACCCGTGGACAGAGGATGTCCACTCGGATTACATTTGTTTCACTGCGTCATAGGTTTGGGTACAAGTCGCAAGGGTTAAAGATGGGCAATACGGAGCAGGTAGTACGGAGGTGAACATGAAACACACCTGTGAACGTTCGTGATTGGCAACATTGGAAGCGGCCCGAGAAGAAAAATCAGGGCGGCTACAATGAGAGCCAATCCACAGGAAGTTCGTGTGCCAGCGGTTGATGGTGCGACAAATCCAGGGGGTGGAAAAGTCTTGTACCTTGCAGTCTGTGCGGTGGTTGGCTCTTCTCCAGCCGCCCATCGCCCCAGTCCAGCGGGTATCTGCGAGGTGTCTCTTGGGTCTTCCTACTGGTCATCTTTTAGTTTTCGACTGATTTTCAGCTTTCACCGTCTGAATATTCGACCCTCAGTGGACAAAATGGAAAAATATGAGTTCTGAAACATCCCCTCTCGCCCTTGGCCTTCCCCACCCTCCAGGTCGGTGGATGTACGGAGCACATCGATCGACCAAGCAGACGCCTCTGGACTTACGGAGATCACACAAAGTGTGTCTGGTTAATTGCCATGCATGTAACATCGGACCATTGAGAGGCTGAGACTCGGGATTTTCGATATGCTGGAAGGGCCCGAGAGTCACCCCATATCTGTATATATAATCCTTGACGCGAACGTTGCATGGCTTTTTTCTTTTTCTTCTTCTTTAGTACACTCCCTTCTCTTCATTTCTTACTTCTATCGATTCGGCATTCAGGCTAGACCTGTGTCACTTTCCTTTTTTGCTTCTTGATTTTTGCCTGTGGTGAAATATCATACATTCCTTTTCTGAGATCTATCTTTGATACGAAAATATAACAAAGAGGCTATCGCTATTGTTCTTCAACAAAGAGATTGGAAATAACATTCCGGCAAATTTGAATCAGTTTGTTTCATTCACTCTGACACAAAGGTATTGTGTTTCTCCCATTGTTTCATCGTTGCCTCTGATCTATATACGTCTGATCTATTGTGGGAGATCTATGATCTATTGTTGAAACATCTATATGCCTTGCCCACAATAGATCATCAATGAGACACCGTCGATATATATACTCCTGACCATCTCATCTTCTCTTGCATTTCCAAGTCTCTCATCCCAACGCTAACATTCCACTACAAGATCCATTCCTTTTGACATCTGATTCCATTCGTCTGGCACGAATCGATTCCATTTGCAACATTTATCTGTCGAAGATCTCAAGCAACCCAAAAGTTCAATCATCCAAGATGTTCATCACCTCCAACTTGATCGCTGCCCTGATGGGTGCCTCTATGGTCAACGCCCATATGATCATGAGCACTCCCACCCCTTATGGCAAGGGCAGTCTCAACAACTCGCCTCTGGCAGCAGACGGCAGTGACTTCCCATGCAAGCTTCGCGACAACACCTTCGAGGCTCCCGAGACCGAGACAATCATCGCCATCGGCGAGTCCCACCCTCTGTCTTTCATCGGCAGCGCCACCCACGGCGGCGGTTCCTGCCAGATCAGTCTGACCACCGATCTGAAGCCCTCCAAGTCCTCCGCGTGGAAGGTCATCAAGTCTTTCGAGGGTGGCTGCCCTGCCAATGTCGATGGTAACATGGAGGGCGGCCCCGATGTCGCCGATCCTTACGCTTTCAACTTCACCATTCCTGATGGCATCTCTGCTGGCAAGTACACCCTCGCCTGGACCTGGTTCAACCGCATCGGCAACCGCGAGATGTACATGAACTGCGCTCCCATCACTGTCTCAGGTGGCTCCTCCAAGCGCTCTCCCGACGAACTCGAGAAACGCGCTGCTAGCTTCCCTCCCATGTTCGTCGCAAACGTCAATGGCTGCACTACCCAGGAAGGTGTCGATATCCGCTTCCCTCAGCCAGGTGAGTATGTCGAGTTTGACGGTCAACCCGCCAACCTCGCCAAGGAGGGCTCCGAGGCTTGCACCGGTACTCCTACCTTCGGCGGCGACGGCAATACTTCCTCCTCTTCTGGCTCCTCTGGCTCCAGCTCATCCGGTTCCGCTTCCTCCGGCTCTGCTTCCTCTGGCTCTTCTTCTGCCCCCGCAGAGAGCGCCTCCACCGCAGCCGCCTCGGTATCCGTGGCCCCAGTCCCAGAAGCTACTCCATCGAGCGCACCCGCCGACCCCGAGCCCGTGTCCCCCTCGGCACCTGCCCCAGCTCCCGTGACAACCTCTTCGCCCTCCGGCTCTGGATCTGGATCTGCCTCCAGCTCCGGTGTCTTGACGGGTAGCTGCAGTACCGACGGCCAGTGGAACTGTATCTCAGGCACCTCCTTCCAGCGCTGTGCTTCTGGCACCTGGTCCGCTGCCCAGCAGATGTCGACCGGCACGCAGTGCAACGCTGGTCAGAGCGCGGAGCTTGTTGTCTCTGCCAGCAAGAAGGCGCGTCATGTCTCAAGCATGCGCTTCCGCAACCGCTCCTACGGTGTTCACCACGCCCACGCGCTTAGCTAGATACGCAACATGATCCGCTGGATTCGAGTGTCATACACTCTGTCCCATCTCTGGATGGGTTTTTTATCATTCTTTTCTCCTCTTTTGATCTTTCTTTTCTGCTGGGCTGGTCCTTTTACTCTTCGTTGCATTATATGCCCCTTTCATCCTGTACAATTAGGAGATGAGACTAGGAAAATAGGACATCTCATAGGTTTCGATATAAGATATCCTTTCTGTACACTGTGGCTCGATGTTGTACTGCCAGTAGTCTATAGGTATTAGTGCAGCTCAAACAATAGTGTTGTTTGTCAAAGCCCATTGGGAAACTTGGTAACGTAAGAGGGATTCAGCTGTAGGAATTACCGCTGCTCAATTATCACGACCTCAATGGGTCTCGATGACATTCTTGTCTCCCAGATGGAGAGTCTCCCAGGTATGTACTTAAGGAACTGTAGAGATGGACAGTCCACATTTCCTCCAGCAGTTTTTCCCTCAAGCTTTTGGGTAAATCAAATCGGGGACAAAAGTGACATCGCTTCCAACCACTGGGCTGACCCAGCTCGGTTTATGTTAAACTTCAATGTTGCTCGATGACTTCCGAGGTTCAATGTTTAAGATCGCACCTGCCAGATATAGATCCACTTGTGGACCCCACGTGATAGCTCCGATTAGATAATTGTTGCGTTTTGCGCTAGTCCACATATAGCAGGAAGGGCTTAGGGTTCGCCGCCCCACCGCAGTTTCTCACTAAGCGAAAAAATCCACACCGAGTTGTGAAGCCCCCCGACTCAGAGAGATTGGATCTTCAACCTCACCTCGACACCGACCAGCAACAATGGCCTCCCGCCCGACTGTCTCGATCGCCACGGCTGCGGGCAAGCCCTCCGGGGCCTCCCACCCCCTTCCCACTGTGTTCTCTGCTCCTATCCGCCCGGATATTGTCCAGTATGGCTCGCCAAATTCTTGAAGGATTCACAAATCGATGGAGGGGAAGTGCTGACCGTCCCTCTACAGGCATGTTCACACTGGTATGGCCAAGAACAAGCGCCAGCCCTACGCCGTGAGCGAGAAGGCTGGTGAACAGACCTCCGCTGAGTCCTGGGGTACCGGTACGTTATTTGGCACATTTTTCGAGATTGGAAGAATCGGATCCGAATTTGCGAAAAAAATTTGCGATCATCGAATTCTTCCCTATGGAGAACAATAACTGACTGGATTGCTTCCTGTTATAGGTCGTGCTGTCGCCCGTATTCCCCGTGTCTCCGGTGGTGGTACTCACCGTGCCGGTCAGGCTGCCTTCGGTAACCAGTGCCGTTCCGGTCGTATGTTCGCCCCTACCAAGGTCTGGCGCAAGTGGCACCAGAAGGTCAACGTTGGCCAGCGGTATGTGGAATCCCATTGAACGAATTGAACGCCTAGAGAAATGCGGAGGAACTAATAATCTCGCGCCTACAGTCGTTTCGCTACCGCCTCCGCTCTGGCTGCTTCTGCCTCCCCCGCTCTGCTCTTCGCCCGCGGTCACCGTGTCGCCAACGTCCCCGAGGTTCCCCTCGTCGTTGAGTCCAAGGCCGTTGAGTCCCTGATCAAGACCAAGGCCGCCATCGCCCTCCTCCAGGCTGTCGGTGCCGGACCCGATCTCGTCAAGGTCCAGAAGTCCCGCAAGATGCGCGCCGGTAAGGGTAAGCTCCGTAACCGCCGCTTCCGCCAGCGCCGCGGACCCCTGGTTGTCTACAACCCCGAGACCGACGGCAAGGACCTCGTCAAGGCCTTCCGCAACATCCCCGGTGTCGAGACCTCGCCCGTCTTCTCCCTCAACCTCCTCCAGCTCGCCCCCGGTGGCCACCTCGGTCGCTTCGTCATCTGGACCTCTTCGGCCTTCCAGGCTCTCGACCAGGTCTACGGCACCACCACCAGCCCCTCGGCTCTCAAGCGGGATTACCTCCTGCCCTCCAACCTGGTGGCCAACGCTGACCTGACCCGCCTCATCAACTCCTCCGAAATCCAGTCCGTCCTCAAGGCCCCCAAGGGTGAGGCTCGCACCAAGCGTGTCAACGTCCAGAAGAAGAACCCCCTCCGCAACAAGCAGGTCATGCTCCGCCTCAACCCCTACGCCGCTGCCTACTCCAAGCAGAAGCTTGGCCAGCAGTCCGTCGACGGTGGCAAGCCTACCGCTCCTGCCGAGGCTTTCCTCAACACTCTGTACGAGAACTAAGCGGGTCTTTCTTTGCCCCCCTGCTATTTCTTTGTTAACTGTTTCGTTGGCAAAATGGTAGTCAGCAAAAATGAATCAATGCCTTTTTTGCAATACCCATGGGTCTATTTGGAGTAGTAATGTGATCGGTTTCCGTGTTCTTCTAAGTGACCCTCGAATTCTTTGTATCTTGCATGGTAAGTTCTGTAGATGTAGATGGGTCGAGGTGTCTACCGGTTCTCCTTGTACGTCTGAAGCTAGTCTTCGCAAGATAATCGTTTACATGGATGTGGATATGCCAACGCTTCCGCTGATCACAAACTGTTTCCAATCGAGTATGATGACTGCCTTTTTTTGAAGCTCAATACAAAGGACTAGGTCCAGTTCTTTTCTATGGTCTCTTTAAGCTTACAGGCTAGAACTGTATAGTCGAGTATCTTCCCATTCAGACGCTTCTCTCGCTCTCATTTCAATCACCTCCAGAGTCTGTCCAGTGGAACCTATTGCTTGTCTCTTTTAGTCTACGGTCGCTCGTTTGGCTATCCTTGGTGGTTTCGGAATATACTCGCCGCGAAATCAAGTATCTGTTCCATACGAGGCAACAGAGAGCCTCATTATTCCTCTCTCATAGAACCAATTAACATCTATATCTTTTGGACTAGTAGGATCGTTACTAGGAGCTAGTTATGATCTTGGAATGATACGGAATAGTGATCATGAATTAATGAGAGAAATTTCTGAAATATGTATCTATATATAAATGTGACTATGTACTATGTTAGAACCGTTTTCAGTCTACCATTGTGAAAGAAAATGTTGATTATTGAAATGAATTCTTTCCAATATTCGAATATATCCTTGCTAGACGATTGATTCTATGATATAAACGAAGTTCCAATTCCCAAGGTTCGGGCAGATGTATATAAAAAGTCAATCTGTCCAAAGCAACCATGGATAGAGATGCGGCTCCCAAGGCCTTCTGAAGGAACATAAGTCTTGAAATACAAGCAAACCTGTATACTGCCTAGGTAGTTCAATCCACACGCCTCAATAGATCCTGAACAAAATAATCGAGCATAAGCCAACGTCTCAACCGACCGCGGGAAATATCACATGTCAACAAGCTTCCTCACAACCCACAAGCTAGTTCCAAGGTTAGTACCTAGGTACTCCATAGGTATGTCGTACAAAGTATAAACTCAATGCAAGCACGGAAGCAATTCTAATTAATTGATGCATACTCCGTAATCCTAGATAGGCCGGGTGAAGTCGAGTGAAACACATTATGGCTTGCTGAGCTAGCCAGAGCGGTTCCCGACGTGACGGGTATACCGTAGAATGCAGTTCATAAGATATTGATTAGCATCCACACGTCCACGCGTCTTGGTTATTCGTTATTGAGACTCGGCATTTACGTTGTATAGAGAAATAGCAATTCAAAAAGTAAAGTGCGATTGAAGCATTACTCAAGCTGAAACACGGGATATTGAAATTAGACAAAGAAGCATTCTACCATGTCTTGTTCCGGTAGCATGTGAAGCTACTGCTTGCAATATAATTGACTTTTCGTGTGCCCCGTTGGTTCCTCGAAAATAGTTAATGGATTCCTGGGCTGAAATAGGTATGGCGTCAGAACATCAGCAATGGTATAGAGAACAGAGTTTGCCAGTGTTCTTTCTTTTTTTTTTTTGATGTTTATGTTGGAAGTTGGTAGTATTACGTCTACAAACGCTCTAGGACTATACGATTACGGGTTATAAAGAAAGTGACTCGAAAATTCCAAAATTAAAGCCGGTGACAAAGTTAAAGCCGATGATCGTCTAACCGAGATACAGTTTTGGATGTCGGACACGGAGATCAAGGACGTGCGAGGGCAGATTGCCAAGAACACCTTCAGGGTTCACGGCTGATAGTCGGAGGCACTTACGAGCCCGAGGTCTTATGTCAGTTGAAGAGCTTTTTTCCTGCATGTTGATGCTATTGATCTGACTGGTTGGGAGGTCACTACATTCACTAACGCTATATGTTGATTAGAGGGTGCTCCATTTTCAATGACGTTGGGTTTGAGGTCTCACGTTGCTACATGTAAAGCCTAGATCTACAACCTTCCAGGAACATGGACACAGACCTCGGGAGTATGGATACATATGTATACATAAGTACGTATTACATAAAAATGCCGGTTCCAAGGTTGGGATATAGATGTATTCTATCAAGTAATATTGTATGTATTCCTCTAGTAAAGCTAATATCCTAGTCTAATCCACCAAGTTAAATTGTAATGCAACATCGATCAGGAACAAAACATATTAGCCGAGAGATCCTGAAAGGTTCAAGCCGTGCGATCGGGGAAAAATCTCCGATCCCGCAAAGAAACCCCAAAAAAAGGGACAAAGAGATCAAAAAAAAAGATCAAAAGAAAAGAAAAGAAAAAAAGAGAGCGTGTAAAGAGCGGTCTCGGTAAGATCAACCGAACGGATAAGCTGCACGAGCAAGGAGAACAATCTACTGGATGGAACCTTGTACAAGGGTAAAATAAACGCCCGGGTCTCGTGCTGGACTTTATTCGCAGATCACAGAGCGGATGCTTGTCTAAGTATAGGCATGTCTCACTTGAGCACCTAATACGAATCGGTTCAGGGGTGCAAAGCGTGTTGGCGCGCTATCGGGAGTCAATCCGACACTAACTCTGTGGATGCAAAACATTGTTGCAGTAGTAATGTTGCAATACATTAGTGTCTACGGAGTTCCGTACTTCGGTAGGAAATAGAACACGGTGGCATTATGAAGGAATTATACCTTGTACTCCGTATAGAATTGGGAAGTT